ACCATTTTGCTCATTTGTCTCAGCACAGGTGTGTGTCCAGCAGAAGACAGTTCAAAACACATTTGATTTTAAACTTCGCTTCCTTCTTCCTTAGCACCTCTCTTTTTGCCGGCTCTGCTGTGCTAATAACATCAGGAGTAATCATCTTTTTCAACTTAGGGAATGTTTCTCCAATTACTCTCTCTGCTGAGCCTCCAAACAGCCTTCAAAGCAGTGACTCTCCACTGTCCAGAGGTGATCAGGAGCATGGGCTTGGCCAGCACTGATTGAAAGCCCAGCAGGCAATTCCCCCGAAGTTCTTGGACCCCTATCCCCCTGCCTGCCCTGGACAGGGACAATGAGGTCCTCCTTTCCCAGACAGGCTCACAAGGCAAGATCACCGGCCCGACATCCACCAGACAGGCTTGGACGCTGGATTTTTATACCCTCTCTTGAGGCTCCTGATCCCTTCAGGGAAACGTTGGGTAACATGAGGGCTGACCAGCCTGAGCCGGAGCCCGGCTACCCCCAGCAGAGGAGCCCAGGGTTTTGACCAGAGACACTTCCCATTCAATTCCAGGACCCACTGTGTCAGGGCAGGAGGGGGATGGGCTGCATTCTCAGTGACCACCGAAATAGCTGTACCCCCCCCCCCCCCCCCCCCCCCCCCCCCCCCCGAAGGGGAGCCCCATCCTTCTAGCAGCTGTGTGAGGAACTTTGAGAGACCTGCTCACCAGGGAGAGGTAGGGACAGCCTCTGGCATCCTTGGCAAGCACAGTTTCACAGGTTGAGCCCATGGGCCTGGAGTCTTTTTCCTTTAATTGCCACCTTCTGGAGGCCTGGCCATTGCCAACCTGATCCCAGAGCCCAGGATTTCTGCCCTCCGGTTTCTGGCAGCTGAGTGAAGGAGTGGCTATTCTAGCCCGAGCTTGGAATTGACCTCTCCTTCTCCTCTTCCATCTCAACTGCCTCTTACTGCTCATTCTGGTCACTCAGTTATTGGAGTCTCCTTTCACCATAGTTGCTGGGCACTGGAGACCCGCAGGTGAATGATGACCATTCCCCTGGGCAGGAGGAGCTCATGCTCCCATGAGGGAGATGCACACATGTCCACACCTACACACTGTGGCCTACTGCAGTCTGTTGTGGGTTGTTGAGGGGGGTGTCCCAAGGGCTGCCAGGGGACTCCTGGCCCAGTCAGGGAGCTCAGGGAGGCTTCCCTGGAAGGCTTCCTGGTAGAGGTGGTACCTGCCCAGGCTGGATTTTAGGATTAGGAGGCATCTGTCACAGAAAGAGGTTTTTGGACAGAGGATTTCCCAATAGCATAAGCTCAGTGGAGTAAGGATTTTTGTTTGGTTTATTACCCAGTACCTGGAACAATGCCTGGTATAGTAGATGCTCAATAGACAGGTACTAGAAGAAAGAAGAAAAGGGAGGGAGGGACAGAGAAAGAGAGGAGGAAAGAATGAATGAGCCTGGGGTGGACAGATGAGCAATGACTGGGTGTATTCTGAGGACCAAAAGTACAGTAGTTCCTCGAGGCTGTGGTTTAGGTGGGTGGGGCTGGGAAACGGGCCTTATCTCATCCCTTTGTTGCTGGTGTCCCTTTCTTATCTCCACTCTGGGTCCGGAGCTCCTTCAGGGATGAGACCATTTTTTCCTTTCGTGGTTCCCCAACCCCCGGTACATACACTGAGTTGATGTACACACAGGTTCTGAACCTGTGCTGGGTGGTGGAGACATGCAGATGACTCAGACTTCGTTCCTCTCCCTGCCAGCTCTGGCGGAGGAGACAGACAGTAAACAACGGCTACAACAAGAGGCAGAATTGACCACAGAGAGCCACTACGGAGGTTCAAACAAAATGAGACCAAGCAGGGGAATGGATGAGTTTTGCTTTGGGAGTGAAAAGCAAAAAGGTCTTAGAGGAGAAGATGGCATCAAACAGCATGTTAGCCCTAAGCAATGGTCCAAGGGGGATGTTGGGGTGGGAAGAATTCCCAGTAAAGATGGCAGGCCCAAAGATGTGGTCTGGCGAAGGTGGAGCCGGGGGATTCCGTGGGGAAAGGGAGGCTGGGGTTTGGGATGCTGTTTGTTTTTAGGGGTTTGGACTGGATCGTCTTGGATCACCATGTGCACCCTTGGTTGGGGTTGCTGAGTGGTCCCACTTCCCAGGAGCCTGTCGACTCTCTTCTCTCCAGCAGGCTGGGGGCTCCCTGAGTCCTTTCTTTTAGCCTCACCAGGAACCTACTGACACGGGGGCTCATTCTGGGTCAGGCCCTAGCAAAGGGCAGACCACAAAGACAGAGTGCCCGGCACAGGTTCCCTGAACGCCACTCCTCTCCTCTTGCCACATTTGCTCCCAAAGAAGGTGCCAGTCCTTTTTTCGGTGAGGGTGTGGGGATGTGGGAAGAAAACTGTAGAAGGGAAATCAGCATCACAGAACATCAGATTCTCAAGAGATATTAAAGATCTTCTAACCTTCCTTTCCCATTTGACAGATGAGGAAAATGATGTCCAGACAGGTTTGTGCTGCAGGCCTGGTGCTAATAGGGCATAACCAACTTGGTAGATAGACACTGCCATAGTCCAGCCAGAGAAGGGCAGTGTTTTCCTTTAGGCAGGACCTGACCGATACTCATGATCCTCATAATCTGTGGGCCTTGCAGACCCAAGATGAGTCAGGCTTCTTGTGAGTCAGTCTGTTGACAAGCCATCCTTGGCCATTCCTAGCCCATCAAAAATAGAAGTCCAGGGGAAGGGGATGAACAGGCCAATTTAATTAGTGTGGGCTCTAAGGTACCTTAAGGTAGCCCTATTAAATTAAACCGCCTAGGGGAAAAAATAACTAATTATTTCCTTCAACTCCCTCCCAACCTCCATGCTTCCCTCATTCACAAAACAACCTTTAAACTAGGGGCTTCCATACAGACAACCATAGACTAGGGTTCGTTATTTCCCCTTTTCGGTACCCTTCCCAGGCGATCTCCAGGTCCCAGCAGAGAACAGAGTGCGTCCAGAGGCAGCCGTAGGGCCTGGCTGTATTCTAATTTAGGGAGGCTGTTACACTGAGTAGAACATTATTCCAAAAATGCACCGAGTCTCCTTGCTGAACCAATGCAGATCGGTTTGCTGCGGGGCATTTCTTTTAAAAGCCCCTTTTCTCTTTTCAACAGATCAAAATAAGCAAACTTTAATAGTAGGGAATTATTCTTTATTTTGTTGAAATTTAGTTCTGAGTTTTCCAACTTGAAACGTGTTTTCCCCAGGACACTGACCTATCCTTTAATTGTTTGGTGCGAGGCATGTTAGGGGGAGGGGCGTTACTTGTTTATTGGAACAGCGCAGTTAAAAAAAAAAAAAAATCAACCTAGGCTAACAGTTTCAAGGCTCCCCTAAAGATGTATCCAAACAGGCAGCCAATCAGCGCTTACACAGCTTTTTCTGCTTGACTCTTTTAAAGAGACAGTGCCGACAGTGTTTTATCATATTTAAAGAGAACCGCGCTCTGAAAGCAGTCTGAAAATGGGGGAGTCTTCCCCTATTTCGCTGGTTTCTGGTCTAAGAAGGGAGTCAAAGTGTCTACTTGGGGTTCTCAGCGTGGACAGAGAGGAGTCCGCGGCAAATAGCTGGGTCACTCTGCCAGCACCCCCCCCCTTTCCCCTTGTACACCCGGGTCCCCGTCCAAGGGAGCTTCCCCCCCCCCCCAGCCCGCCCCCACCCCCCCCCCCCCTCCTGAATTTAGCTCCATTTATTTGAAGTTTGCAGATTTCTGTGGCGCGCATTTCCACGATGCAGGGCACCCAGGTGACGCCCCGGTGCCCGGGAACGGCATAGTCTCCTGCGGAGAAGCCAAGGGGCTAACTTGCCACGGCTGCCAGACCTTAGAATTTTGGGAGCAATCACTCTCCCTTCTCTTAGCACAAGTCCCCCGTCCCCTCCCCCAGGCTCCCCAAAGCACGCCGAGGACCTCTAACGCGCGGCTCCACTTTGGGGCTTTCCAAAGTATTTTAATGATGTAGTAAAGGAGCAGCCGCGCGCCTCGGCGCCGGCTCGGGCCGCCCAGCTCGCAGCGTGGAGCCCCGGGCCCGGCACTCGGAAGGCGGACAGGGCAGGAGGGAGGGCCGGGGGCGGGGCGGCGGGGAGCGGACAGGAGTCTGAGGAGGGGGTCGGGGTCGGAGCCCAGGGGGGAGGGCCGGCGAGGGGGAGGGGGAGGGGGAGATAAGGGCTGGGCCGGAGCGGGCCGGGCAAGGGGGGGGGTGGAAAGGAGGCAAGGGGCAGATAAGCGAGAGGGACGTGGCGGGAGGGAGCCGGTGGCGCTCCGCTTAGGGGTCCGCGCCCCCTCCCCTCCGACGCTGCCGCAGCGCCCCCCGCCCCCCAATGGTCCCCGCCGCGGAGAGCGCCGGGCAAACCCCCTCGTCGCCGCGGCCAAGAGACGAGAGCTCCCCCGGCCCAATTCGAGTCCCCTCCCCACAGCCACAGAAAGGAGAGGCGCGCGCCCCCGGGCACCCCCGGCTCAGCCGCAGGAGCAGGGGCAGCGGCTCGGCGGAGGCGGCCGCAGCAGGGACTGCCGCGGCCGGGCGCTGACAGGGCGTCCCTCCCGGGCCACTGGGCCCGCCCCCGCGCGCCGATTGGCCGAAGCTGCCATCAATCGCAGGACGTTGACGCCCGCCTCGCTTCCTCGCCCGGGTAGCCACGTTCGGTTGAGCTCCAAGTAGACCAGCGGCAGCGGCGGCGGCAGCGGTGCCGGAGGCGCAGAGGGCGGCGCAGGCGGAGCCGGGCGGGCGGGCGCGCGAGCGAGCCAGCGGGCGGCCGGGCCGGCGGGCGAGCGGCGGCGGCGGCGGCAGCGGCACCCCAGGCCGAGCCGGCGCGGGAGGAGTTCCAGGGCGATGGGGCCGCGGCCGGGGCTGACGCTTTGACAGCTGGAAAGAGCGCGGAGCCAGCGCCTGGGGGGGAGGGAGGGGAGTGCGGCGAGGAGAGCGCGAGCGGGCGAGCGAGCGAGGCCGGGGAGGGGGCCGGGAGCGAGGGGGCAGCTCGGGAGCAAGCCGGAGCGGTAGCGGCGGCGGCGGCGGCGGCGGCGAGGCTCGGCGCCCTCTTCTCCGCAAACCATGTTTGCCAAAGGCAAAGGCTCGGCGGTGCCCTCGGACGGGCAGGCTCGGGAAAAGTAAGCCCTATTTTCCAAGTGGCGGCCGCGCCGTCGCCGGGCTGCGGGAGGGCGGTGGGAGGCAGGTGGGCGGGTGGGGGCTGCTGCGCCCCGGGCCCGGCGCCGCCTGCCTGGCCCCTTCCCCGAGGCCGCGGCGGGCGGCGTGGGAGAGCCCATTGTTGGGAGGCGGCGGAGGCCGGGGCGTCGGGGGGCGCGGGCGGCGGAGGGGGCACCTGGTGGCCGCGGGGCGTGCCGGGCGCGGGGGCCCCGCGGAGAGGGGTGGGCGAGGTCCCGAGCGCCAGCCTGGGCGCCCGCCGCGGCGGCCGCACTTTGCCCCGCGGGCGCGGGCAGGGGGCGCGTGGCTCCCGCAGCCCCGAAGGCTCCTTTTGTCCGCTCGCGGCGTGAGGAGTGCGTACCGGGGGCTTTGTTCGGCGGGGAGCGCTCTCCCTTGCCTGCCCCTCGGCCTCGCCGCCCGCCCCGCGCTCTCCCGGGCGCCGCGCTGGGCAGGGACGGCGGCGCCGGCTTGGCCCTGGGCTTGGGGGACAGTTGTTTGGCGGGGGGGAGCTGATGAGGGTGGCGCTTTGCTGCCCTCTCCAGAGCGCGCTGAGCACCCCGGAGTCCAGGACTGAGTCTCCCCGGACCCTCAGAGCTGGAGAGAGGGTGGCAATGAGTGGGTCGGGAAAAGGAGGGAGGCTCTGGGGTCGGGAGGCTTACAGAGTTTGAGAGACCTAGGTGGATTTGGCCCCGATGCCAGTTGGAAGTTCAAGTTTGGGGGGCTGCTCTCTAGCTCTCTCGTCTCAGGGCTCGAGGCAGCGCGTCCCCTGGTACCCACCCCCTGACTGCTTCCACTCGCGGCCCGAGACAGGGTCGAGCTAGCTGCTCACCTCTGGTTGGGGCCACAATGGGACAGCGCAGACAGGGCTGGAAGCCGGCTGGCAAGGTCCAGAAGCGAGCGCCCCATGTGATCTGACGCCTTCCCTCTCTTTCTGTGCCCCTTGCCCACTTTCCAGGTTAGCTTTATACGTCTACGAATATTTACTGCACGTAGGAGCACAGAAATCTGCACAGACCTTCTTGTCGGAGGTGAGTGGAACTCCCCCCCCCACCCCCAACCCCCATCATCCAATTTCTTGACACCCCCTCTTCCCCACTATTCTTAGAGCCTTTGTTTTCAGGAGCAGCCACTGTGGCCACCATTTTGAATTTTTATCACCTTTTGGCATTTATTGTTAGTTGGTCTTCATAGCCTTTTGGCTCAGGGAAGCCCCCAGCCCACCCTTCCTCTCTGCTCCTCTAAGCGGTCTCTGCTCTCTGCTTTCCAGATTCGATGGGAAAAAAACATCACGTTGGGAGAACCGCCTGGGTTTTTGCACTCGTGGTGGTGGTAAGTTTGTGTGATAGTTTTGCGTGTGTGTTTGTTTTGTTCTGAGACCTGGGTCTGGGTGAACAAAGACAGGCAGCCTGGAGCAGAAGCCCACGCCTTAGCTTTTGGGCTTGGCACAGACCAGGGCGCCTCTGGACACTCAGACTAGGGCTGGTAAAGGAGGAAAAGGACAGCAGAGGCTGGTTCCCAAAGTTTTTGCTTCTCTTTCCCCTTCTATTGAGAAGCTCCTAAATCATGTCTAGTGTTTATATAGAAACTCCTTTACTTTCCTATCTCTCTCCGGGGCACCAGGCGGGGTCTTGAAAAAACCTTGGAGGATTTTTGTTAATTCTGCATGCTGCTTTAATTAGAGGGAGTGGGGGTGGGGTAGGGTGGGGAGGATACCAGGTCTGTTTTACAGCTGGCCTGTCCCTTCCTTTTTCTTCTGTGAGCTCCAAACCTTTAGAGAGCAGCTCTACTGGGGCCTTTCCCAGGCACCCTGAGAAAAAAAGCAAGAAGGGGCTGCCACTTCCTTTAAAGATACTGATTCAGACTGACTGGACTTTCCTCTCCTCTGTGGGCCCTCCCCCCAACCCCCAGCATCCCTGAAACCACAAAGTTTCATTTTACCAAGAACCTTAACTGGTTGGTGTTGACCTCACAGAGTGCTTGTAGTCGGTAGTCGGTAGTCGGTAGTTGGTAGTTGGTGGCTTTCCCTTATTTGTGACCCTTTTCCTCCTTTATCTGGGTCCTGCTGTGGTAGGACCTCTGTAGGTCCCTGTCTCTCCTTGTAGGTTTGCGTAAGAACAGGGGCTTAAGGTCAGCAGAAATGAGTCGCTGTGAGTATAAGACCTGGCTGTTTCGCGGACCGATTGGTGGAGTCTCTGGCGTCCTTTTGAAAAGGACAAGAAAGCAGAATGGCTTTTGATATTTTGGTGGAGTTCAGAAGGATCGGAGTGCCACGTCTTGGGATCTTAGCTGTGCGTTTTTACCTGATAACCAGTTCAGGTTACTGTTCCGAGTCTCTTTGAAATACGGGGGGGATGAAGTGTCTGTTCTAACTTGCACAGAGAAAATGAGTTTTTAATTATTTCTCCCAAACTTGGAACTGCGGTGCTGTGGCCTGAGGATTCTACCTGTAGGAGTGGGTGATAGGTTTTCTGGGGTGGTTTGGGAGAGCAGTATGTGAGCGGCGTGCGTGCGTCTGACCATCACGGATTTTTGCAGAAGCTCGGGTTTAGGAGTAAAAGTTACTGAGAAGGGGGCCAGGGAGTTTGTAAGTGTTCGAAATCTTTAGCGTGTGGAGAAGTTAATCCAATGTGTGCTGCTTCAGGGGACAGAAAAGAATGTTTTTGAGCCTCTATCTGCAGCTACTAGGAGCCTCCTATTTTCTCATTCTGATTTTCTTGTTGTGTCTGTAAGCGGCACCCCCCAGCCCCCGCCCCAGTCTTCTCCAGCCTTGTCTCAGGCCCAGGAACGGGGAGAATCTGTTGTTTGTGCTGGACCTGAGCAGTGGTGGCTCTGAGCTGCTCTGTCTGTGGTCTTGTTAGAAGTTGCTTCCGTGCCATTCGACACTGAGCAAATGACAGCTGAGACTCTCCAGGTGGGAGGAAGCATAGGCGCTGATTTGGAGTTGATCAGGCCCTGGAATTTGGACACCTTGAGCGAGATGGCTTGTCTGATGATCTGCTGAGTCGGTTGTTGCTGATGGGGACAGGAGCTCTAGACTTGGAGTCAGATTTATGCCCAGGTGCCCGTTTCCTTCGAGTGGTTCCCAGCCCTGGGCCTTGGGTTTCTGACCCGAAGAGGCTTTCTAAGGCACCGTATTAATACCAGTGACTACCCCGTTTGTGTAAGCTTTTACTGGTTGACAGATGACTTGTGGGTCTGTTCTCATGTAATACAAAATGTTAGAGTGACTATACCAAATCTTGGAGGCGCGGATGAGGCAGAGATATCTAGCCCTGCCCCTTGCCCCCTACCCCCACCGCCCTTTGCTGGATTGGTGGACAGGTGCCTCTATGAGGAGGGCTATTTCAACATGAAAGGACAAGATACTGGGTTGTTGACAGCCTCTCCTTCGGCTAATTGATATGCATTCTTTAGGGGTGTGGGGGGGATGGTTCTTGCCTAAGAATTCCTTGAGGGAGGGCCTGGATGGGACTGAGGGTTGAGATGGGAGGGATGGGGGTGTGGGCTCTGGGCTCTGGGATTAAGAACCTGTAGGTTTCCTTTATTGCTAGTCACTCAGATGGCTCCACCTATGAATCATAGTCCTGACTTTGACAGTTTAACCTTTTTGTGAAATGTAGCCATTTTGGTTGGGGGGATGGTGGTGAAAGGAGCACAGATGAAGGAGGCCTGGATTCTTACCCAGATTCCTACCTGTCCTATCTGGACCCCCATGAATGGGTTGTACTAATCCATCCAAGCTTCAGTTGCCTCTTGAATAAAGTAGGGTTAGTTATCTCTCCTAAAGCACCATGGTAGTACAAGCAAGGTCACGGTAGTACAAGCAAGGTCACGGGCGGGAGGCATCTAGCGCACAGTAGGTGCCTCATGACCAAGAACTAATACTCTTAGGGCAAAGGTCCGTTGTGTTTTCAAGCCTGAGCTTAAAGGCTGGAAATGTGGGATTAGAGCCTTTGGGAGACCCCGTGCTGTTAGCCCCATACGTTGTGCCCTTGTCGCGGATACACGAGTGATAATTAGTAACCCGATCTTATTTTATTTTTCAACTTGCAGCGTATTCTGGGACCTTTACTGTGCAGCTCCTGAAAGGCGAGACACTTGTGAACATTCGAGTGAAGCAAAAGCCTTTCATGATTATGTGAGTAACAAATTTTTAATCCTGGCAATAATTACAGGGTTGGATAGCTCTAACTTCTTTAGTACCAGAAGCAAATACACAGCCATTTGGCAGTGGTCTTTGTTTTCTCCTGGCCTTTTTGTTCTGCCCACCTCCCTGCTGCCCTTGCCCCGTTCTAACTTGGGGAACCGTGTTTCGTAATGTGGTAATTATGCAAAAGAGTATAGATACCTATCTGGAGGATAAAATGGTGGTGTTAGGGCTCAGCTGTAAGAGGCTGATGGTTCAGAGTGGACAGTTAGCTAGCTGGGAAGGGACTGAGTCTCCTTGGTGTTGGTTTAATTAAAAAAATTCGCCGTGGCCACTGCCACAAAACAAAAACAAATACGAAACTTGTGTTTCAGAGCTGAAGGGGTGGTTGAGTGAGAGTTTGGTGAAATGGACTCCTTCCTTACTTCCCAGGGAGCAGTCTTTTCAAATTATGTTTTGAGGTGTGTGTGTACGAGTGTGTGTGTACGCGCGTGTGTGTTTGTTGGAGGGCTCAGGTTGCGCTCACTGAGACCATGTGTACTTTGAAGCCCTTGGCTGGTCCATAATCTTGTGTCCAAAATGTTCTTGTGAAGATAGTTAATTTCATCACATCATAGTGCTTGCTACCCTATTATTCATCCTCTACCTGGATGAGTTTCTTAAGATTTATGAAATGCTTATAAGAGCGACGTCTGCCACATATCCATCTCCCATGGCAGTCCCCTTCAAAAAAAAAATTAGACTCCAAACATGGATTGGAGTCAGAATTTATGATCAGATGAAACACGATATGGGGGAGGTGGGAGATGGAAGGGGAAGCGTCTGCAGTTCTTCCCAGCCTCCTTCCAGGCTTCATCTCCCGGTGGCCTTGTAGATGGGTGCCTGTGTGTGTGTGCCTGTGTGTGTGTAAGAGTGAGTGTGAGTGTGCGTGTGCAAATGCACACAAGAGGTGGTTTATTTGGTCTTGCACTTTTTCATGAGGTCGGTAGGAATGGTCTCCAAGTTCTAGGGCATGGAAGTTGGTTTCTTGAATGTTGTCAGGGCCCACCCACTTGGCCAGGCCATGTGTGTCTCCTGTGTGCAGAGGGGGGACACACCTAGGACACCAGAAACTGGCCTAGGACACCAGAACCCATCTGGTTGATTTTCACAAGTGCCATTACCATGAATGTCTTTATGGTGACAATTGCTCCTATAGTAGACGGAGTTAGCTGCTCCGCAGGAGGCTCACTGGTTTTGAGACTACTCAATGGGATGAAATCTTGTTATGACTGAAAAGTCAATGCCCTTGGACCAGACCGCTGAGGAAGTGGACCTGTTCTTGTGCCCTCTCCAAGGTCGAGAAAGAGGCTGGTGCACGGTACTTATGGTCTGGTAAACTTTTAGTAGTAAAAGGTGAGGTGACTGGTTCTCTTGTGATGTGGTTCTTCTGGGAAAATCCGTGGTGATGATCATAGGGTTTCCTGAGTTGGAGGTTGGGGGAGGAGGCCAGAAGGAACATTAAGCATATAAAAATAGTTGGTGAATTTGACCTTTCTACCTAGTAAAAAAAAAATCTTCCTTTTTTTTAAAAAACGGTAAGAGAGTGCATTCCTGTGTGGCCAGTCTTTGCTGTGCAAATGGTTTTGTTTTAGAGTTGTGGGGAATAGGTGGACATGCCTATTTGAGGTAAATCTCTTGATAGAGGATGTCTTTGCTATCTTTTGCAAGTCGTTGAAGAAGTTAAAAATTTTTAACTAAGTTTGGTGCTCTAGCAAATGATGTAAGGTGGTGGCAATTTGTGGTTTGGTCTGCATCTTGAAACAATATGGGTGGCAGTGAAAGCTCACATGGGTTTGCTTTCCATACTTTATTAAGGAATGGTGGCAGAATTACATGGCGAGTTGAAATCGGCATAGATGTGTAGAAGATGCTGCTAAGTGTTGAAGTCCCACTGATTGAGGCCCAGGATTCACAGATTTGGGGGAATAAAACCCTTTTCCCTAGATTGGAATCCGTTCGGTGTCATTGGCTTGAGAGAGAGGTCGCGTGGGGGGAGGGATGGAGTAATGAATGGCGACAGGGAGGGAACATCTGTATGGTGGAGGAGTTGTGGGGTGACATTGGATTGCCGGGGTGACAGAGGACCAACTGGTAAATTAAGAGAAATTTAAGACAGTTAAGAAAAGGAACTGTGTCTTCTCTTTGGCCTTCTCAGATCTTCGTGTCTTCTGTCCATTCCCATGGCTACCATCTAGTTAGCCCTCATTCCTTCTTGCTAGAATTGTTGTCTCTTTCCAGGCTCCCTTCCTCTTGTCTGGAATGCGTGCCTCTCTTATCCATTCAAATCGTATCCATCTCTGAACTTCTTTGTGGACTTCTGTGATAGTTTCTAGCACACTCTGATCACCCCACCTCATTATCAGTGGAGACCATCTATCTATGTACACGGAGCCTGTGTTGGCAGCTCTCCACGTACTGGGCTCCCGTGCTGACCACTTCGGTTTAGTCTCTTGTTCCTAGCTGCCAGTGGTCTGGTGAGAGGGGGATTGTTAACTCCCATTTCGCAGATGAGGAAGCTGAGGCCCAGAGAGGTGAATCCGCAGCTAAGGGGTAGATTGAAGATCCAAACACAGTCCGTCAGCGACTCCAGGGTCACGGCCCCTGACTGCTGAGGCTCAGCCCTGCTGGTCCGTGGCGAGTGTCATTCGTTTGCACCTGTTCCCACTACTTTCTCTTCTAGGCTTGTCTTTCCAACCGCAGCTTATTAATTTTTTCCCTGCCAGAGGCTGTTCATCCGTCTACAGAGTTGTCCGTCTCTGTAGCTCCCACACTACCTTGCACACAGTGCGTGCGTGCTCATTGAATGAAGGGGTTGAGGACCTACGGGTAAGGAAAAATAGGTCATTTGGGCTCACTGACGAGTCTGGCCTAGAACAGCCGTTGGCGTGTTGGAAGATGTGCCTTTGGTGCTTTCACTTTTGCTGGGTGGTCTTGAGCGCGGCGTCCTAACGCTGGTTAACTAGTTACCTTACATCCTGTCGGTAAGAGTGGGTAGTAACTGGCCTTCCCTCTGCCGTTGAGGTGAGTCAGAGATTCTTCTGGTTTGTGGGGAGTCTGCGCAGCCCAGGTGCCACCCAGACTTGGTGTGGGGGTAGTGAGTATCAAGTTCTTGCAGGGCAGGGGTCAGGGAGGGGTTGCCCGGTTGCTGCTGTGGGGCTGGAACGGTCTTGGGAAAGGACCTCAACTGGGAAGATCCTGGTCTCCGCTCACATAGGGAAAAGATTTTGTGTTCCTGACAAATTGTCTCCCCTTCTGACAGCGGGGTCAGGGGTCAGGTGATCGGAAAGCTTCCTCTCAGGTCAAAGCCAGGCTGTAGGGCCTGGAATGAGCCAGGTGACTCAGTGGGGGAGGGGGCTTAAATTTTCTTTGAATTGCTGAGTTTTCATTTGAGTCAGTCTGTCCTCTCTCCCGCCCTCCCCCCCAGCCCCCAAATACCTGGAACGTTGTTTGTAAGCCCTGATGTTGACCACGTGTAACGTGGAGTGTTTGGGCATTCAGTACGAGAATAGACTTTTCTGAGAAATCGGTTTATCCTAAGTCAGAAGAGCCCCGAGGCCGTGGGAGGAGGCTCATGGGGACCCTGCTGTGGTTTTGGGGGGCTCTTCTACTCTCACCAGAGCAGCATTCCTCAGGGCATTGGTAAAAGGCCTTGGGGTACCATTGGGTTCTCTTAAACCCTGTTGTTTGGGGCCTGGCCTTTTGTGGGGTGAACACCTGTTCCACCTGTGTCTCTCACCTGGCCAACTTCTCCGCTTGCTTTCCCCCCCCGGCCTGTGTGGCTGGTAGAAAGAAGTATTTTTGGTGCCTTCTTGGCTGCCAGCGGCCCTTTCCCTCGTGTGGTAGCTAAATGTGTGTTTTCTTCTTGGTGGAGAAATGAGTAGAGTAGGTGTGCCCTGGCCGTGCGGCCTCTGAGCTGGAGGTGCTGGAGAGCCGTGGGGGCTCCTTGTGCGGCTCATGTCACGGCAGTCGTTATAAAGCCTTTCAGGGCAGGCTTGTAGTTGGGCCTCATGGTGGGTCAGGGGTTATTCTTGAGTTTCAGCCCCATTTCACAGATGAGGAAACCGAGGCCTGGAGTTCAGATAGTCTGTGCAGGGGCATGTAGCGGGGGTGGGGATGGGGCGGGTGGCAGAGCTGGGACCAAATATGGATTTTTCAGGTTCTTCCTCTCAACTTTTGACAGCCCTCATTTGTGAACAGAATTCCTGCTGAATGGAGGGGAGGTGCTGGCACTTGACCCCAAGTGTGCCTGTGTATAGTCACTGAGGAAATGAATTGGGCAATGAGTCAGTCTGAAGCCCCTGAGAGGTGAACTGCGGAATCACTGGCAGAGGGGACAGGAGCTCGGGAAGGGAGTTTGTTCTGGTACAGTGGCTCTCTTGGCAGGGAAAATGTGATAAAAGCTCTGGCCTTTCCTTCCAGAAAATACCCGTGTCCCCACAAAGGAGACTTTGTACCTGATTTCAGAAGGTGTGCAGACTGCTGCCCCTGACCCTGGCCCCTCTGTGATTCCCAGGGAAGAACTTGGGGCGGATACTAGACATGGAATCCCATGACCTTGACAAGCGTGGAGCCTTAGTTTCTCCGCTCTGAAGACCTGAGGTCTCTTTCTGCTCTGCCATTGTGAGCCCCTGACAAGGAGAGCCTGCCCCCCCCCCCCCCCCCCCCCCCCCCCCCCCCCCGCCCCGTGCCCCCAGCTGTGAGCCTGTGTCTCTAGGCTGCCAGGCGGGATTAGGCAAGTGCCCCAGAGGCCTAGGCGTGGACGTGAGCTGAGGTATTTGTGGCTCTGTGGCAGGGGTCCAGCGTCCTTGGTGGGTTTGAAATAGCAAAGTGATATTTGAGAGGGCTCTCCTTGGATGTGCTGAGCTGGGGTTCCTGCCAGGAGGGGAGTGTCCGTGCCTGCCAGAACCCTTCGGGGGGCAGGGGCGGGAGGGGGCGGGAGAGGACAGCAG